CAAAAGCACCAGTTGGTCGGGCGTCGTCTCGGTCAATCGACCTCGCCCAACCGGCTTCCGCCAATCAGCCGCCTCGCCTCCGTCCGGCCAGGCCGATTCGAACCGGCCGACCGGGTCGATCTGGCACGAAAGGCGAGGCAAGGCGAGACGAGACGAGCCAAGTTGTAGAGTGGACTAGAAATGGCGTCGTCGCCGAAAAGGGCCAAGAGCCCGGCGGCCAAAGGCTCGCCGAAGCGAGCCAAATCGTCGCCGAAAAAAGCCGGCGCCGGCGGCCTCGCCGGCCAACGGACCGGCGACATCGGCGTCGGCCTCGACGTCGGCGTGAACACGCAGCCCAACAGCGTCTGCTACGCCTGCCACAAAGACTTCGTCGACGCCGCCGCCATCCAGTCGCATCTCTGCCTCATGGACCATTTGGCGCCGCATTCGCCCATCCTGCAGCACTGCCGCGCCTGCCGCAGCCTCGTGCCCATGCACGAAGTCGAGCGCCACCGCTGCTGCCTCGTCAAGGCCACCTTCTTCCGCGACGTCTTCAGCCCTCGCAACCTCGCCCAAGGACCGCCGTACAAATGTCTCTTCTGCCGCGGACGACCGTTCGACTCGCGCGCCAAACTGGCGCTCCATCTGCTCGGCCAACACCGACCCGACAAGCCGAGCGGACAATGCGGCCTCTGCTGCTTCGCCTACGACGAGCCGACGCCGACGCTGACGCCGACGGCGATGCTGACGGCGACGGCGACGGCGACGCCAACGGCGACGGCGAAAACGACGCCAAAGGCAAAGACGACGCCAAAGACAAAGACGACGCCGACGGCGAAGACGATGCCGGCGACGGCGACGGCGGCCGAGATGGCGGCGGCGACGGCGACGGCGACGGCGATGGCGACGGCGAGGGCCGAGTGGGAGCGGCTCGAGTGCGAGGCGCCCGAGTCGCCCAGTCTCGGGCTGGCGAGTTTGGATGAGCACATCGACGCGGTCCATCTGCCCGGCCATCTGCTCAACGTGGCTCGACGGTTGTGCGTCGAGTCGAGCGAACGGACGACGTACACGTGTCCGTTGTGCGGGTTCAAGGGGGCCACGACGAATGTCGACTTTCACCTGCACGTCTTGGGCGCACACGGCCAGGACGAGTCGGTGAAACGGGAGTTGGGCATGTGTGCGTTTTGTCGACGTGTGTGTCGCGACGAGACGACGCTGCAATTGCATGTACAGACGGAGCACGGTCACCGGTTGCGTCGACTCGCGCGACTTTGGCTGCGTCGCGAGGTGATGATGAACGCCGCGGACGCCGGCGACGTGTGCGCCACATGTTGGCGCCACTTCAGACGCGACTATCAACTGCAGGCGCATGTGATCGTGGCACACGCGGGTCGAGATC